TTTTAACYCCACAACAAATCAAGTCATACTTTTCCAGAAAAGCATCAAAGAGTAAGCAAGTAGTGTCATCGCAGCAGGAAGAATCCGATGCTATATCTGAAGAAGATCAATTGGCCTACTCGACAGCTAGAGATGATATTATCAAGGAAATAGAGCTGAGCCATCCAATAATTTATGACACTTACGATATTTGCAAAATGCATGCAGACAAAAAACTAGAAAAACTCAGTGTTGCACTCCTTAGACTAATTTGTGCATATTTCAACATGGAAGTTGAAGACCTACCTCGACGTCGMAAGGCACCATATTTATCATTTATCAATGGTTTAGTACAGTCATGCTCATGCAATAATTAGACTACATTATTTATCGAGACACCTTTGCTTTTATCGCAAATAGTAAATGCTACTTTCTATGAAAAGCACCGATCCTATCTATTATCTTCCGCGATTACAAATCATGCATYCGAACTTACATATTCCATAGTGACAATAGTAGTTCAAGCATGAATAATCTTTTTAAAATAGGTTTTTGATATGCGTACAAAATAAGTGTTCATTTTAGGGTKCTCCGGTTGCAGTGATGAACGTTCAGGTAGCTTTTCATTYAGCAGAGCAGATTGGCCAGAACAACGCAAATATTCATATTTTTGTCTCACTCAAATATTTACCGAAYGCCATTTGTTTCATTTATATRTGCTTTAAATAATATATCTGAAGACAGTACTGAAMAAATTCAAGAAAATGACTATTTTCGTCTTGAGTGTTTGGTCACCTCCAGTTAGAACCTACGGGTTCCCTGTGTGTAACGCATAACGCAATGTCATGAAATGTTTGTTTGTACTTTATAGTACGTTTTATAATATTTGTATACAAAGATTCTTTAATATGCAAACCTCATGCTTGTTGTWACCATAGACCAAGTAGTTGATAGTGAAATCTGAAGGCTGGCGAACATTCTAGCCGAACGAAGTGTTATTGTTTACCGGATATCTTTCAAGATGGTGAATTGTAAGTGACAATATTCAATCAAAACTTAGCTTTTTCTCACCAAAAATGGACGAATTTTGATATTTTTAAAAGTAATATTCTAGATCAATAATAACATGGATTTATTTCAGTGAATTAGATTGCGTTTTGTGATGCTTAAAATATTTTAAAAGTTGATTGAACTCGATTCGACCGCCACGTGCGTGGTGTCGCACTTGACCTTTGAACGGCATATAAACTAAGGCGATAAAATTACTTCTTTTTAATAGCCCCATAGTTTTATTGCTGTTTTGACAAGAATAAACATAGTACTTTGCTTGTATAATAGTCACAATATCATATTCCATGTAGCAAAGGGTGATTTTCGTTCTCGAAGATAAGTATGGTTTTTGTATGCGATAAATTGTCAAATTTGAAAAATCTTTGTAAAATATTCGTCAATGTAACTAGAGCAAAGTTATTTATATAGAAAAATTGCAAATTATCTGTTCTTTCAGGCAGTCCTTTTTGTTTAGTAAAATATTTTGTATTTAATTTTTGGTAAATTATTTTCGAAGGTGTTCTGAAACATGGCAAAATAGGGTTCGCCAAGCGAAAAAACATAAAATTGCATTTTTCCCTAAAAATAAAAATCGCTCGAACTTTTTGGTATTTGCCCTATTATTAGCTCACCTAGGCCAATGTTTGGACAAACTATGAGCAATTTTGATTTTTTTTATTTTGCACCCATTTGGTCGATTTTTACAGACGGCCACTCTTAAACTCCTATACATCTACTTTTGTCTTTAAGGTGGATGGATCATACAGACATGGAAGCTGTTCATTTGCGTGACTTACCACTGGCTAAAGATTTTCAAATCCGGAAAACAGCGAATGCATTCTTTTTTTTTCTTAAGCAATAACTCTGATTACATTTTCCTGTTCCGCACGAAGGTTAAAATAAATATTTAGTCGTAATTCGGCTTTGTTAACAGCTTCAGACAACACGACTCATTCGCCATTTTGAAATTCGACCTGAGCCCGTTAGGAAAAGGTCAGCTTTGTTTATTTGGCTTTATG